CTGAGTGTGCTGTGCAGAGCAGTGGCCTCCACCCATGGGCTCCTTAAGGGTCAGCCCTGCTTTACAGCACTGACATGTGGAGGCAGCAACAGCCCTGAGTGTTTGGAGGGGGGGTTCCTGGGGAGGAGTTCCCTGTGCTGCACAGTAGCGCAGGGTAAAAAGTTCAGAACTACGGTTTCTTCCAAAGAAGGAGGTGGGAGATGAGGTGCAGCAAATATGTCTCATCTCATCTCACTTGAGAAACGGTCATGGAAAATGCAGATTTCCCCCTTGACCCTTTGCTCTAAGTGCAAACCTGCATCAGCGTTCACGTGCAGGAGGGCTGCTCTGCCCATCAGCCTGGTGCCCAGATGCTCTGTGCTTGCAACGTTCTCAGCTGCAGGAGGACCTCACCCAGAGGCGACTCTGCAAAAAGGACTGGACTGGGCTGGGAGCAGAGGGGTCCTGTTGAAGGTGCAGATTTAAAAGCAGCTCTCCTTTGCAGCACCACTGTGCAGAGCAATGATGATGAGGACAGGATCAGGATGGTGATTCTCATGGGCAGATCAAGTGCTCTCAGCCACCACAAAGGTCCTGGAGGAGAGCTCTGCCCTTCTGGAGTGATGCTCACAGCCCTGCAGGACTCCCTGTCCAGCAGAACCAGGTCTCTTAAGGTGATGGCTGCTGAGGGAAGCAGCGTCTCCTTGCCTAAGCACTGCCTGCAGTCTCAAGCTGGGAAACTGAAGAGAGGGCGCCATGATGGTGAGAAGAGAAATCTCTGCTACAACCACAAAGGTAAAGAGTAATACCTGTGCAGCACATCCTGCATAAGAAATGGCCCTGTTATCCCACAGAGAACTGGCCATGGATTTGGGAACAGTGGTGGAGATGGAGGCCAGGTCAAAGAGGGAGAGGTTGAGGAGGAAGAAGTACATGGGGGTGTGGTGGCGGTGGTTGCAGGCTACAGCAGTGATGATGAGGCCGTTGCCCAGGAGGGCAGCCAGGTAGATGCCCAGGAAGAGACAGAAGTGCTCCTTCCCATGGGCCCCCTTTAAGCACTGAACGGCTGCAATCAGCTCTGCCTGCAGCCTTCTCTTCTCCAGGCTGAACAACCCCAACTCTCCCAGCCTGTCCTCATAGGAGAGGTGCTCCAGCCCTCAGATGAGGATGAGCTTGAGGATGAACAGAAAATGTAATGCCATAACATCTGGAGAGAACAGACAGAGATTTTCATACTGCTGCTGGCTTAGCTATTACCACATGTTAGGTTCACTTTGCTACTCAGTGAGTACAAGTGACCTTTTTTTATTACTAAAACAAAGCAGCAACACTCATGATTAATACCCAAGTGAGAAACTCCAGGCTGCATTGAATTCCAGTGATGACCATAATGGCACCAGTTTGCCCAAGCCTTCGCTATGCTCACAGCTGTTGCTTTTTTAAGGTTCATCTCCTGTTTCATCATATTAAATTCACTTTTCTGATCACTGTGTTTCCTCATTAATTCAAGCACACACCAGCTAGCTTTTAGTCCTCCGTCCCTTTCAGAAGGCGATGTTTTGTGTTCTCACTGCTGATACACAGACTGACTGTCACTCCCAGCACAGCATCACCTAGGAATAACTATCACTGCCACTCCGGCCTGTGCAGAAGGGCTGCTTTATTCTGAAAGGGGCTTTACTTGGCAAGCTGTTTGCAGTGGGTGAGAACTCTGCTGCAGATCCATCTAGTTTTACCACTATGTCATCTGCCTCTACTCCAAGCTTTAAGCCTTTACAAATTCCTCCTAGTACTTATTTTAAGTGCAGTAAAATTTTTCAGCTACCCTGTTTTTAATCATAGCCTAGAGAAAGGATATAGTAAAGAATGCCATTAGAAAACACCAAAACCCTGCAATGGTGCCATTGCAACCAAGCACAAGAGAAGAGCTCAAGTGTGGCTACACAAGGAGCTGAGGGTGACCCTAGCACTTAAGCGACACAGTCCCATGGTACCTGAGCAGAGCAGGCAGAGCTGGGGGTGGCAGCAGAGTCCATCCAGGAGCAGCAGAAGGCTGGAAACACAGCTACAAGGTAGAGGCACTTCCAGGAGGAAAGGCTGAAGACAGGCCTGAAGACCAGTTTGCTTGTGCCTTAGCCCTGAGCTTAAATGGAGTCCTGGACCAAGGAGCAGAGGAGTGTGGTTGACCCGGACTGACCAAAGGGCTATTCCATACCATATGACATCATGCTCAGCACATACAGCTGGGGGAAGAAGAAGGAAGGGGGGAACGTACAGAGTGATGGCATTTGTCTGCCCAAGTCACCGTTACACGTGATGGAACCCTGCTTTCCTGGGGATGGCTGAGCACCTGCCTGCCGATGGGAAGTGGTGAATGAATTCCTTGCTTTGCTTTGCTTGCGTGCACAGCTTTTGCTTTCCCTATTAAACTGTCTTTATCTCAGCCCATGAGTTTTCTCACTTTTACTCTTCCAATTCTCTCCCCTGTCCCATTCTGGGGGGAGTGAGCGAGTAGCTGTGTGGTGCTGAGTTGCCAGCTGGGTTAAACCATGACACCAACATCTTGCTGGTCTCAATTAGAAAATGGCAGATGGTTGCAGGTGACCATTTCTCTCTACTCAGCACTGCTGAGGTCCTGTCAAAGTGCTGTGTCCAATGCTGGTCTCCCCAGTGCAAGAAAGCTGTTGACCTGCTGAAGCAATTCCAGAACAAGGGCCACAAAGCTGGTTTAAGGGACTGGAGCATCTTTCATAGGAGGAAAGGCTGAGAGACATGGGACTGTTCAATCTGGAGAAAAGATTTGGGGGGGGGGTGTTATTACTGTATATAAAAGTCCATCTGATCTGAAGAAAATACTTTTTGACCATGAAGGTGGTTAATCATTGGAAGAGGTGCACCTTATAAAGCTGACCCTGCCTCAGCTGGAGGGGTTGAACTAGATGATCTCCAGATGTCCCTCCCAATCTCGACATTTCCATGATTCTGTGAGTATAAAGGAGAATTACTTTGTCTCTGCCAGTGCCAGTAATCGGTAAGTGATCTCCCTGTCTTTATTTTGACCCAGGAGCTTTTCTGATTTATTTTCTCCCTTTCTCCTGCTGAGTAAGGATAGTGAGTGAGCAGCTGAGTGGCTGTCTGGCTGCTGGCCAAGGTTAACCCACCACAGGACCACATCAGGACTGCTGCATCCAGTATGGGCATCCCAGCAGAAGAAAGAGCCTGAGAGACTGGAGTGAGGCCTGCAGAGGCCATAAGGATTTTGTGGGCCTGGAGCGCATTATGGACAAGGAGAGTCTGAGAGAGCTGGGCTTTTGATAAATTCCTCAGATCCAAACACTGCAGCAAGGACCCAAGCCAGCTGGTGGGATTTCAATCAATGCATTCTTTCAATATTTGTCAAGACAAGGCCATGAGCACTTGATCAAGATGGAGCTGTCTGAGAATGGGCTTGGCTGAGAGACCAACTGTGGCAAGAGCTATGGGCTTTGGTGTGTAATGGCTGTCAGTAGGAAACTGTTTCCCTTTTTATTAATGATGGCAGTGGTGTTGGGTGTCAGTGAGCCCCAGAGGAGGACACGGGTAACCGTGCAGCAAAGGTCCCTCCTCAGGGCTGGAGTGTCTGGCCCGAGATGGAAATGGTCCCTCCTCAGGGCTGGAGTGTCTGGCCAGAGCTGGAAATGGCTGGAGTGTGGGACTCATCTGGGACAATTTTCCTGGCGCAGCTTCCCCAGGGTGTCCAGGGAACATGGCACAGACCAGGACCCTCTCTTCTGCACCTATGTGATCTTAACTTCCTTCACCATGTCACTTGGCTCTGCACCATGAGTGCTGGCTGCCCCTACCCTACACACTCACACAGCTCAGCTCTACACTGGCGTTTTTCTCTCCTGAGCTCATCCTCTCCTCACCCCTCCAAAATCATTGACCAAGAGTCCAGCATATGCCATCAGACCTGTCATATATCAGTTAACCTGAGGAACTAATTTGGAGCACTTGGACCATCTCCCCTCCCATTGGATACCAACAAAAGACCTTTAAAACCAGAACTTTTGTGCCAATGGAAACCAACTTTGCCATGAGCTTAACACACAAAAATACTAAGAACTCAATGAGAACAGATTCATAAATGGACCAATTCCTTGGACATTATCTTGGAAGCAACTTTGGAGGAAGAGCCCAGCCTTCAGGTACTGCACCTGGGAGATACTCATTTAGTGAAGAGCTGCAATTTGAAGGGCACATGTGACAGTGTTATGCAAGGGTCTGACACAACAGGATCAAACCTCAACACAAGGAGTATAAACCCAGAAAATTATATATAAGGAGTATTATCACAAGAGAAAACATCAGACTTGTGGCCTAAGGTAAACTCTGGGAAATGTGCAGAGAATGGGTGGAAGACCATTGTCTGTGAAACAGCATCCATTGTGACAGTCTCCATAGGGCCTCTTTGATCTCCTGGTTCCTCATGCTGTAGATGAGGGGGTTAACTGCTGGAGGCAACACTGAGTACAGAACAGCCACCAGAAAATCTATAGATGGGGAGGAGATGGAGGGGGGCTTCAGGTAGGCAAACATGCCAGTGCTGACATACAGGGAGACCACGGCCAGGTGAGGGAGGCACGTGGAAAAGGCTTTGTGCTGTCCCTGCTGAGAGGGGATCCTCAGCACAGCCCTGAAGATCTGCACATAGGACAGCACAATGAAAATAAAACATCCAAATGCAATACAGACACCAAACACAAGAAGCCAAACCTCCCTGAGAGAAGCATCTGAGCAGGAGAGCTTGAGGATCTGGGGCACTTCACAGAAGAACTGCTCCACAGCTTTGCCCTTGCAGAGTGGGAGTGAAAATGTATTGGCCGTGTGCAGCACAGCATTGAGAAAGCCACTGCCCCAGGCAGCTGCTGCCATGTGGACACAAGCTCTGCTGCCCAGGAGAGTCCCGTAGTGCAGGGGTTTGCAGATGGCAATGTAGCGGTCATAGGCCATGATGGTGAGAAGATACAATTCTGCTGACAACAAAAAGAAAAACAGAAAGACTTGGGCAGCACATCCAGAGTAGGAGATGGCCCTGGTGTTCCATAGGGAATTGGTCACAGATTTGGGGACCGTGTTGGAGATGGATCCCATGTCGAGGAGGGAGAGGTTGAGCAGGAAGAAGTACATGGGGGTGTGGAGGCGGGGGTCGCACGCAATGGTGGTGATGATGAGGCCGTTGCCCAGGAGGGCAGCCAGGTAGATGCCCAGGAAGAGCCAGAAGTGCAAGAGCTGCAGCTCCCGTGTGTCTGAGAATGCGAGGAGGAGGAACTGGGTGATGGAGCTGCTGTTGGACATTTTGTTCCTCTGGCTGTGAGGATCTGTGCAATAAGGTAGAAGATGTGAGAAATTAGGAAATACTTCCTTGAGAAATATCTATTCAATTTCTTAGAGAACTCCCCCAACCAACATTCCCTTTCAGGAAGGCCTTCGGTGAGCTCTGGTTGGTGCTGGCTGAGGGGGTCCCATGGAGCAGGAGGCTCTGCTGTGGGCTCTGCAGGATTCAGTCCTGCCCTGCAGCAATAGGTAAAGAGGGACACGGGATGATCTAGGTCAAATCCCCACCTGATATCAAAGAGCTTTTCAGCACTGTCGCTCACAACTCACCTGACTGCCGAGCAGTCATGTGGAGATTTTGTTTTGTGTCTTCTCTTCTAGTTGCCCCACCACAGCTCAGGATGGGGTTTCATGCAGAAATCCCTGGCATTTCTGATGCATTCCCAGGGAAATCTTGTGGGTCCTGAGAGGCAAAGAGATTGTCCCTGACTGCAGAGGGAGGACAGACACTTTGACCATCAGCCCTGCTCTCAGCTGCCCTGTGCTGGCAGCTCTTTCAGCTCCAGGACCATCGCACTCAGCGGTTCCCCCCAAAAGAAACAGGGCACTGCTGGGAGCAGAGGAATCCAGCTTCCAAGTGCAGATCTCCAAAGCCTTCAGCCCATCGTGCCTGAGGAGGATCTCAGCTCTGCCCTCCCAACCAGGGACACCAAGGGCTCATGGTCACTGCCCACCTACAGCCACCCAGCAGTATTTCAGTGACCTCAGAACACTGGGGTCTTCTCCAGGAGGCTCCTGCATAACATAGAGATTTTATGGGAGAGTTTTGCCCGGGTGAGTGGAATGCTTTTACTCCATGGACAGGCGTGCATGGCAGTGCACACAGCGTTGGTGTCTGAGCTGCACTTGAATCCTCACCCCCCAAACACCCCTGGGAGTGTAACAGTACGAAAGGGTGTGGCAGGGAGAAGAGGAGAAGATGCCCAAGGACCCCTTTGCAAGGGAGGCAGGAGAGGGAGACCCAGTCAGACACAGGGATTTGTCTCCTCTTTGGTGGTCGGGCTGCTGGGAAGGCAACTCATGGCCAAGTCTCCATAACAGTGAGGGCAGAGGCTCTGCTGCGTGAGTGAGGAGACCAGGGGGTGGCTCCAGGGAAAGCATCTGCACTGCAGGGGATGGCAGGGAGATGCCTGAATCCCTCCTCCCACGGCATTTCTGGCAGCAGTTCTCTCTTCCTTCCTGACCATGGCTCTGCTGCCTGGAGCTTCTCTGGGCCAGGACCTGTTTCTTCCTTCTTCAAGCTCACAGTTCCCATCCCACCCGCTGTGTGCTCAGCTCTGCCCTGGCAGCAGGGCATTGCCCAGGGACATCTCTGTGTCTGCAGGGGGTTAGGAGCAGCTCAGAGAAGTCCTGATGAGAACTGGGCTCTCTGTGCCTTCTCCAGATCAGAGAAATAAATTCCCATCTCTCACTGCCCACCCAGCCAACCAAGAGGAGAAAACTGAATGTATAGAATTGTACCTTTTCAGGGAACTCCCTACCTTGATAATCCATCTTTAAAATGACCAATCTGCAAATGTCATCCAGGTGATGTAGAACTCCAAGCAGCCTTGACCATTGCTGCACCCTCTGGATAGCAGGAGGATCCTGCCCTGCCACCCACAGCTTTTGCCCACAGCGTTGTGTTGAGCTCCCTGGGCAGCCTGAGTGCTGACCCTGGAAGGTGGAAGAATCACTGCTCTGGATTGCAGCCACTTAGGGTTCAGGGATGCTGTTCTAAAGCACAGCCCTGTGCAATCACAGAATCATTTATGTTGGAAAAGATCTCTGAGACCATCAAGTCCAACTGTTAACTTAACACTGCTAAGTCCAGCAGTAAACCATGTCCCTAAGCAACTCAATACTGGATATACACCCAGCTTCAAAACCTTGGAGCAATATCCAGAAGACAGCAGCCATTATGTCCTGTTCTTCTGATGATGCAGCAGAGAAGCCCTGCTCTGCAACATGCCCTGCCTTTCTACACTAGTGAAATTGTGACAGTCCTCCTAAAATATCATATCTGCTATGGGATGTACCAGCTTTTGGATATCCCTCCAGGAACACCAGCTTCATTGTCCTGCACCCAGAGTTTGTTCATGTAGAGGGCCGTGAAGGTCTCTCCCCCAATGAGATCCCAGATTCCTCTAAAACCACACAGCCTGTAACCTCTCTCCTACTTCTATCGTCTCCCCTGAGTGCTCTCAAGCAGAGCCTCTGCCCTGCTGCGCTTTGCAGAGGAGCTGATCCTGGGCAGAGCTGTCTTTCTGCAGTGCTGCCCACTTGCCATGAGTTCCCTCCATCCCAGGAGCCCAGCCCAGCTCAGCAGCAGAGGACCAGCCCAAGGCAGCACTTGCTTTGGCCCCTTGGGGCTCCCTCTGGGTGTCCCTGGGTCTCCAGGGGAACCTGCTGTGAAACAGGCTGAAGTCATCCGTGATGTTCCCTCTCTCTGCTGAGGAGGGACAATTCTTTCCTGGCATGGCATTGCTCTTCTTAGAAAAATAGTAGCCCATGAAGATCACTTTTTTCCTCCCATCGATAGACAAGATTGAAGGAAGGTGACAAGGCAAGATCTAAGGTCTCCAAGCTCGGAGTATGTGTTCTGTTCAGTGAATGTAGGCATTTCATTTTGGGTCTTTAGACCCGGGGCTAAAAAGGCATGGAGCTCTCTTTTAGCCACCGATCAGAACACTCTGAGCTGTGCCATTCAGCCTGTTACCAATCCACACCACTGTCTATTCATTCAACCCTCACTTTCTGAGCTCCCCCAGCCTTTCCTCTTAGAAGAGATCATAGAATCATAGAATCATAGAATGTTTTGGGTTGGAAGGAACCTTTAGAGGTCATCTAGTCCACACACACACACACACACACCCCCCGCAGTGAGCAGGGACACCGCTAATTAGATCAGGTTGTTCAGAGCCCCATCCAACCTGGCCTTGAATGTTTCCAGGGATGGGGCCTCCACCACCTCTCTGGGCAACCCATTCCAGTGTTTCACCACCCTCATTGTAAACAATTTCTTCCTTATATCTAGTCTAAACCTACACTGGGCCCTCCTCTGGACCCGCTCCAACACTTCCATGTCCTTCTTGTGCTGAGGGCTCCAGGGCTGGATGCAGGGCTCCAGCTGAGGTCTCCCCAGGGCAGAGTAGAGGGGCAGAATCACCTCCCTCACCCTGCTGGCCACACTTCTCTTGATGCAGCCCAGGGTACAGTTGGGCCTTCTGGGCTGCCAGAGCACATTGCTGGCTCATGTCCAGCTTTTCATCCATCAGTACTGCCAAGTCCCTCTCAGCAGGGCTGCTCTCGATCCCTTCTTCCCCCAGCCTGTACTGATTGCACTTGGCCTTGTGGAACCTCATGAGCTTCACATAGGCCCAGCTCTGCAGCCTGTCCAGGTCTCTCTGGATGACATCCCGTCCTTCTGGTGTGTCAACTGCACCACTCAGCTTGGTGTCATCCGCAAACTTGCTGAGGGTGCACTCGATCTCGCTGTCTAAGTCATTGATGAAAACGTTAAACAGCACTGGTCCCAGTACAGACCCCTGTCTCCATCCGGACATCGAGCCATTGACCACTCCCCTCTGGATGCAACCATCCAACCAATTCCTTATGCACCGAACAGTCCACCCATCAAATCCATAGCTCTCCAAATTAGAGAGAAGGATGGTGTGGGGGACCATGTCAAATGCTTTGAAGAAATCCAGATATGTGACGTCCGTTGGTTTTCCCTTGTCGACAGTTGTTGTCACACCAACTGCTATGTTAGCATTTACTGTCATCTAGGTGCCCAGAAATGTCACCCAACAGGTATCTAATGGATGGCACATGCCTCACCACAGTGAGCTTGTACAGCCTGGGATTTCCAGGGCTGCACTTTTGGCCTTCTTCATAGATAGGTTTCAACATTGGCTTGTTCTCTCTCACAAGAGCCCTCTGCCAGTCCCATGACCTTTCACAAGGGATATTCCAAAGAAATACCCATCTGCCCCTCTAAACTCATCACCATCTGCTTCTAGTAGAGTGCCCTGAGCCTCCACTTCACCAAGCTAAAGAAGCCCAGGACCCTCAGCCTCTCCATGGGGGCCCCAAGCCCCATCCTGGCAGATTTCCTCTGGAACCTCTCACGTGCCTCCCCATTCCTTCAGACTGGGGAGCCCCACATTCAGACACACAAGTCCAGAGGTGGCCACAGCAGAGCTGATATATGGGGGATGAGAACTCCCTTCTCTGGTGGCTTTGCTCCAAGTAACGCAGCCCTCTATGCAGCTGGCTTTATTCATGGTGAATAGGGACCACTGGCTTCTATGGCATACCTCTTCATGCCCAGGCCCCTCTCCTCAGGAACACTCCTGAGATGGTCACGTCCCAGCCTGCCCTCATGTCCAGGGTTATGCTTGGACATATTATAATAATAGGGAAGTGGTAGTGCCCCTGTACTTGGTGCTGGTGAGGCCACACCTTGAATACAGTGTTCAGTTTTCGGTGCCTCACTGCAAGAAAGACGTTGCATTGCTGGAACATGTCCAGAGGAGAGCCACAAAACTGAGGGGCGGCTGAGGGAACTGGGGCTGTTTAGTCTGGAGAAGAGGAGGCTGAGGGGAGACCTTATTGCCCTCTACAACTGCCTGACAGGAGGCTGTAGTGAGGCGGGGGTCGGTCTCTTCTTCCTGGTAACAGATGATAGGACGAGGGGGAATGGTTTGAAGCTGCGCCAGGGCAGGCTTAGGCTAGACATTAAGAAAAATTTCTTCACTGAAAGGGTTGTCAAGCTCTGGAATGGGCTTCCCAGGGAGGTGGTCGAGTCCCCATCCCTGGAGGTATTTAAAAGAAGGATAGATGAGGTGCTTAGGGACATGCTTTAGTGGTGGGATGGCAGGGTTAGGTTAAAGGCTGGACTTGATGAACTTAAAGGTTTTTTCCAACCAAAGTGATTCTATGATTCTATGAGGTTTTTGTTGCCAAATCCCAGAGTTTCTCAAGGTCCCTCTGGAGTGAAGTTCTGTGTGGGCAGCTGTTCATGTGTGCGTACAGGTGGCCCACCAGATCCCTGGTGCCTCTGACAAGAGAAGAGCATGAGGAATTGCAGGGCACTATAGATAACAGCAGGAGGTAGCGGTTTAATGGAATTTCTGACCAAGGTAGGAATTGCCCTGGTGACAAGCTCAGAAACACCAAAGGAGGCTACGAAGGAAGCCAAACTAGGGCCAGGAAGGAAAAGGTGAAGAGAGATGGGCTGTTTGCATGGGAGGGTACCAGGATGGTCCAGGGGAAGAAATTGTGAGGGAGAGAACAGGGAAAAGGAAAGAAAAGGTGACGCAAAGGAAATAATCAGGGTCTTTGGTCTTTCACCAAACAGCCCCGCACATGCAAGTTCTCCTTGAAAAACTTCCTGGGTATTTTTCCTGGTTTTGGCAGGGGTAGATTTAATTTTCTTCCCAGGAGCTGGCAAAGTGCTGCAGTTTGGGTTTAGTATGAGAGGAATGTTGAGAACACACTGATGTTTTAGTGGTTTTCTGGTGGTGCTTACACTAGACTTGGGCTTTTCAGCTTCCCATGCTCTGTCACATGCACAAGAAGCTGGGCAGGAGCTCAGCCAGCACAGCTGAGCTGAACTGTCCAAAGGGGTTTTCCATACCATATGATGTCATGCTCAGCATAGAAACTGCTGGGAGTTGGTCTATGGGGCAGTGATTGCTGGGCATCTGTCTGTGGGTGGTGAGCAGTTTCGCTCCAGATCTCCTGCCTGTCACTGCCTGCATGCCCTGCCTGACAACGGGACAGGAATGGGGGTTTCCAGAAGGGAACATTGACACCTCCTGCAGAGCAATTCCCACGGCAGGAATCAGTCTGCCCAGTGATTAGAGAGGGACAGTCAGTGATGACTTCAGTCTGCTTCAGATTGTGTTCCCCAGGAGACACCCTGCTGCCTTTCAGGAGCTGTCAGTCCTGGAGGCCCAGGGACATCCCCAGGGAGGGGAAGGGGGGGCGGGGTAGAGCAAGTGGTGCCTTGGGCTGGTCCTCTGCTGCTGAGCTGGGCTGGGCTCCTGGGATGGAGGGAGCTGATGGCAAGTGGGCAGCGCTGCAGAGAGACAGCTCTGCCCAGGAGCAGCTCCTCTGCAAAGTGCAGCACGGCTGAGAGCACTGTCTGCAGGCACCAAGCAGAGATGAGACAGAGAGAGGTTAGAGACAGCCAGGAGTGGGAAAATGCATAGAGCTCACTGGAGGAGAAATCTTCACGGCCCTGAACACAGTAAGTCTTTGGCTGCAGGACACATCCTGGAGGGATCTCCTAGAACTGGCACATCCCATGGCTGGCATGGAGGAGAAGGACGTGCTGCAGATCAGGGCTTGCCTGCTGCCCCATCAGAGGGACAGGGCATGAAGGCTGCCTTCTCCCAGGGAGGGCTGCAGGCTGTGAAGGTGGGTGTGCAGGCAGGGGTGCCCAGGGCTGTCCTTCCCAGCAGGGTCCCTGCACCCCAGGGGGCTGTGTGCTGGGGCAGGGACTCTGCCACCTGCCAGGGTCAGCACTCAGCCTGCCCAGGGAACTCCCCATTGCACGGCAGGGAGAGGCTGTGGGATGAAGCATCCATTGACAAGGCAGGTCAAGATCTTCCTGCTGTTGAGAGGGCCATGTTTGGATCAGGTTTGTTCACAGCTCCAGATAATCCCCAGGGAATTTGCAGATGGTCCTTTTCAAAAAAGAAAAAAAAACCAAAACAAAACAAAAAACATTGAGGCAACATTTACCTGAAATGGAAGGAGTCTGTGCTTTGAGTTTTCTCTTCATGGTTGACTGGGTGGGCAGTGGGAGATGGGAATTTCTTTCTCCCTTGTGGAAAAGACACAGAGACCCCAGTTCTCATTAGCACGTGTCTGAACTTCTCCTTAGCTGCTGCAGACACAGAGATGCCCCTGGGCAGTGCCCTGCTGCCAGGAGGGGTCTGGAGGCCAGAGCTGAGCACACAGGGGCGGGGATGAGCACACGTTGGGTGGGATGGGGTCTGTCAACAACTACGTGAAATAGATGTGGGTAGAGAGAAACAGCTCCCGGCAGGGACAGCTCCCAGCAGCAGAGACGGACACTTGGGCAGGGAGTGAGCTTGAGCTGCTACTAAAATTGCGATGGCAGGGGGGGTGGGGGGTTTTGGGCACCTCCCTGCCATCCCCTGTAGTGCAGACAACTTCTCTGGAGCGAACATCCCATGTCTTCTCCCACCCAGGAAAGCCTATTCCCCAAAAGGCCATGGGATGCAGGGCATGAGACATCCTTGGCAGCTGCACCTCCAGTCTAGGAGAAGTGCCTGTGTCCTACAATTAACAATTAAACAATTAACCCTAACAGAATTGCTCTCTTGTTTGAGGCACTGTGCAACAAACCTGAAATGCTGACATGTTGGAGTTTCAGTCTAGAGGGACATTGACAAACTTGTGGGTTTGATCAACGGAGACCTCTTGAAGTTTTACAAGCCAAAGGGGGCAAGGTCTGGGGGCAGAATAACCATGTGCATCAGGACAGGCTGGGAACTGACTGGCTGAGGAATGTCCTGGGGAGAAGGGCATGGGAGTTATGATGGCTGCCATGTGAGCCAGTGGGTTTCCCATTTTGAAGGGAGGATGGAGAAACTGTAGAAGGTCTAGAGGAAGTCTGTCATGGTGGGCTTCGGGGGATAAAACACGTGTACGGCTGCTGCAGTTCCAGAGAAAGTCTGAGGAAGGATCTTGGGCAAACAAGTCAGTGGAGTGTACTCTATTTTATTGAAATGCAGAGAGATTGTGGCTTCTGAAAGTCTCTGGGTCACACAAGACTGATAGACACTGATGTACAAATGGTATGAGCAATGAAATTCCTTTGTGGAAAATATGATCATAGGTAGGGAAAAAATAGTCAAAACAAACAAAAGGACACCCCTTCCTCTGTCATTGGTGCAGCCTTGCTAGCACAGATGTTGGTAGAAGACTCAAGGACCGGGGAAGCCTGGGGTCAGATCTTACCTGCTCCTCTGGAGCAGACCTGACACCTAGCAGTGCGTCACCTCAGAACCAGACCTGGGAGTTCACCTTGGAGGTGGTTCCCCTGGAAAGAAGAGCCCACAAGGGAGCTAACAGCCAGACTGTGGGGGTGCTGATCAGGTGCCTGGAGGACAAGACAATGAAGGAACCACGTGATTTGAAAGTGTGGAGGAGTGCAAAGACACCCAAAGAGCAGTTGTCTAAAATAAGGGGAGACAAATCCCAGGTGGAGAGCCCATGGGAGATGGGAATGCACCAGAAGGAGAAACTCCTTGCTCTCCACTAACACTGAGACCATCTTTCACAGGCACAGGTGGCATTCAGCTTCCCTGCTGCCAGAAACCTATCAATAGGATCCTAGGATGATATGGTTATTGAGGTTCAGAGTAGACCTTGGGAGGTCTGTAGAAAACAGCAGGGTCAGGCCTGGTTTCTCAGGGCTTGGTCCATCTGGGTCTTGAAAACCTGTGAGGGCAAAGGAATTCACAATCTTTGAGGGTGATCAATGCTTGTTCCAATGCTTGGCTGGCCTCAGGGTGAAAAAGGTGAGCCCCTCCTCCTTGCTGTGAGGTGTCCTTCAGCCACTTCTGCTCCAGGCTGAATAAGCACGGCTTCATCAGCCTTTCCTCACAGAGAAAGTGATGCAGCCCCCTGACCATCTTCAGGACCGTTCATTAAATCTGCTCCAGCTTGCTGGCACATTTGCAGTACTGGGGTTGCCAAAACTGGATGCAGTGTTCTGGATGTGGTCTAACAAGTTCCATGTAGAGTCTCATCACACAATGTCCTGACTGTGCTACTGGTCGTCCAGCCCAGGGCCCTGCTGGCCTCCCTTGCTGCCAGGGCACACAGCTGCCTCCTGTCCAGCTCCCTGCCCACCAAGAGCTTCCCCACAGAGCTACTCCCAGCCAGGCAGTTCCCAGCCTGTGCCATTGCCAGGGTGAGTCCCCAGCAGGGGCAGCCACC